GCAAGAGGATAGCTGTTGTGGGCTTCGTGGAGCTCCTCCGGATACTCCAAGTCCACCTCCAAGACCCACCCTTTCTTCGAGTTTTCTTTCAGTTTCGTGATTTGCTCTTGCATGGGCATCACTCTCTTCCACTTGGCAGCGGCAGACTCATTACCCAGCTGTACAGATTGTTTGCATCCAAGTACGTGATGAATTTAGAAGGCTTGGCGGGGTCATAGTCGGCGGCCCGCAGGTTGTTGGCCTTCGTGTACTGCTTGCTTGCCATTGAGATGCCGCCCTGCATACCTTTTTCGATGAACAGGTGCATGTACAGGTCGGTCAAAAGCTCTAGCTCTATGCCGGTCTTTTTCAGCAGCGCGTCCCAGCTCAGACCGGGGGCTTTGTAATAATGTGCTGGATCTAGCCTGTACCTCCCCATGCAGACTTTTCGGAAGTTTTTGAACACATCTGCCAGCAGCACAATGTCGGTTTTCACGTATAGATAGTGATAGTCGTAAGGATAAATCACTTTCTTCAGGAGCAGCTTCCTCTTTTTGATGTCTTCGCAAGTTTTTTCTGTTATTTTCATGTCTTCTGGTTCGCCGCCCTTCACCAGCGCGTCTAAGCTGCTCATCATGAAATTTAAGCTGTCTATGAACTTCAGGTTACCGAGTGAAAAGGAGATGTATTTCTCTGTGTTGTTCGGGATGCAGCTTATTTCCCCTGCACCCGTGCCATGGCCTGCATCAAGAGATGTCCGTCGTATCCTTGCAAGTTGTGAAAGACCACTGGAATGGGTGTTTTGGGGTTTAGGTGGAGCTTCAGGTTGCAGGCATTGCGCACAGCCCCCCAATATTTCCCTGTGATGTGGCAGTGGTCTTTCACCGAGTCTTTATAGTTGTTCGCCAACAGCGGCGCTTTGCAAAATATGCAGTCATCGTTCTCTTTTTCGGGCCCTTTTGGGCTGTCTCTCTCAGAGGCCCCACGATTCCCTTCCAGGTCTAGTAATAGCACCTTTTGTGGCTTTGGCCATAGTACTCGCCGGTGTTGGGGTCATGCACAGCAAACGAGTCTCGAAACTCCGGCTTGAGCAGGCTTTCGTTGCAGATGTGGCACTCCATCGCGCTGTTGTATTGGCGCCAGTCTCCGCTTGTCATCTCGAGCAGTTTTTTGTCGGCCAGCTCTGCTCTCATCAGCTTTTCGTCATTCAGCACACTCATCAAAAACCTGTACACCGCGTCTTTTTTTTCGCGCTACACAAACGGGCCGTGTGTCTGGCCATCGCTGTTCACGATTATGTACGAAAAGCCACAGGGCTCGTGGACCTCTGTTTTGATTGTTGCCTGGCCTTTTTTCGGTGCTTTCATCTGCTTGTGGTGGTTCTTGAACTTGACTTTGTTTTCACCCTCTTTGGGCAGCTCGGTCCTTGTAAGCCTTTTTAGCAGCCCTCAGCATTCGGATTTGTGTCTTTCCAGCAGCTCCTTTCTTGATATCTGTGTAAGCAGCATTTGCAGAAATGTTCGCCCTCGTTGTGCCTGTTTTGGTCATACAAGAGAGCGTTTAACCTAGTGCTCATTTATCAGCATCAGGTTGATCCTCGTGATGCCGCCTTTTTTTTCGCTTAGTCTGTGCACGATCACACGCTCTTTTTCCCAAACACGTTTATGGCCAGGTGCATGTTTTGCCTTTCCAGCTTATCGATCTGTGATACCGGGGGTTGGAAATCTATTCCTGTGAAGTTCAACCTGTCTTCTGTGCGGTAGCTCCCTGGTGTTATTGGATGTTTTCCTTTTGGTACTGGAAATAGAGCAGCACGGAGCGCCCATCTCAAGCACTCGTTGTCTCTGTTTTGTATGTTGATGATCGCTTTTTTGCTGTGGAGCTTTGCAGGGAGAGGGATGTAGCTGCCCCTCGGAATGGCTGATATTGGGGGACATTGATGAACGCTTCCAAAACGCCTTCCACAATCCAGCCCAAGCCTCTTTGCGACCAGGATTCTATTTCGCCTTTTACTTCATCGATGAATCGTCGGAAGGCCCTATTTACCGTTGATGCGTTGTTTCTGTAGAAAACCGTAGGCTCTCTCTCCTTAAAATAACGTTCCATTTCTTGTTTTTCATCGTCTCTGGTTATCGAAAACTTAATATTAAGTGCAAACTGCGTTTTGGCACTGTTTAGAGATTGGATTTCGTTTTCTATCACTTCTGCAAATCTTGATTTCGTTTTTTGTGCTAATTTCAAAAGATCGGCTTTAAATTGGTCCGTGTCAGCTCAAAATCGAAATCCCTCCTAGGCCTGATGCATAAGGAGGTTCTGTTAACACCCTGTTTTGGTCTGTTTCCTGGTTAAAACGACACTTCCCACCCCGACTGCAAGGGGGGGTGGGAAGCCCAACTTAAGAGCACAATCAACCGAAACAGGGAGGTAACAGAACCCCCCCTTATACATGTGTGTCAGGGAAAAACAATTAATTTTTGTGAGTTATACCTGTTTGCTTATTTGCAGAAAATGCACTTTAGGGGTTAGTTTTTAACCACTCATTGTCATCTTTAGACTTTTCTGCGTGACTGAAACCCATCACTTCAATGTTTTAAGCCTGTTTGTTGCCAATATATTTTAAACGTAAGCGAGTTGCGTGAACTGAAACAAAATTAAGTGCTAAAAACAACCTGTCACACTGCAAACTGAATAAAATCTTGGTTACATCTGCAACAGTATATTGGAGAACACTTGCTTGACCTCTGAAAATGCAGGCACGATGAACGAGTTGCATTTAGTGGGACTCATGTATTGTAGGTTCATTTTGTTTGAGATGATAATTGATTTGGCTTGCACCCTCATGAACTAAATGCTTGCAGATTCTCTCGCCATAACCAAATAAGCCGTAATGGAAGCCTAAAATCAGAACTGGTTCAAAAACAAATCTTTTGTTAATCGGAACCTATTTTCATCCACACATCCCTTAGCCTCCTAGGCAGACGCTTGGTATCGCACATTCCTCCTAAGGAAATATTGTGTGACTGCATAAAAGGCTACTAATTTTTTTTTTTTACTTATTTATTTCTTCATTTGTGACAATTGTTCTCACATCCCTGTTGATGAATGAACTCAAATTCCGTTTACAAACTCCCCTTTTAAATATATCCCAATTTTGCGAAAGCCCGCAAAAAGAAACGTCATCGCTTCTGTATGCATTGCATGCCATTTATTAAAAGAAGTAGAGAAATAGACCGAAAAAAAAAAAATTGGCCGACCTCGTATCGAACCAGTGTCAGCTCGTTCAGCGCCTTATTTGCTTGCGCTAACAAAGCAACTGTAAGAGATTAGTGTAATTATATAAAGCGGCAGAAAACTTAAATACGTGAAACAGCACAATTAACTGGGTGAGGGTTTTTGAGAAGTGGTGAGATGAAAATAGACTTGAGAGAAACCTGGAGATGAATCTTCCTGAGCAGTTGGATGACTGAAGTACTCGAGCGGTTTCACGCCTTCGTGTGTAAACAAGACGGAACCGATTACGAACCTGGGTCCCTAAAACTGATTATCTAACCACTCAGTCTGGAAAACGGTGGTCATAAAGCTGAAGGCCAAGGGAGTTCCAAACTCACTGGCCACGTTTACAATTTCCACAACTGTAATGTGGTGATAAACCAAGGACATGCCGGGCAGGCTGACGCTTCGTGCACAACAAGCCGTGATGTATAATTTGTCCGCAACCATGCTCCTTGCCAGCTCTGAAGGTTTTCCAACTTTGTGCATTTTCGCTTGACTTTCATTTAGGCAAGTTTTCTTAGACCATAAAGTAAATTTTTAGTGATAATTTCACTTCAAAACAAACTGTCAAAACTTTATATGGCCTCGTGCGAAATTTTATTTTGCGCTCATTTTAACGAGCGCCGTTGTCATTTCATTCATCAGTTCATGATGAATTAGAGCCAATCATTTAAGAAAGATTTGACAGCTGCCTTAATTTTGAAACATTATGAACAAGCACGAAGAATTCGAAAGGTCTTTTTTGAGAAGAAACTCAAAAAATTACTAACTTAAGCAATAATGTGTGCTTTAAACTAAAACTATATTCTTCTTAATGTTCTCAGTTTTCTGGCGATAGAATAAACCAGTAAAAAAGTTACGGTTGTGAGCGTAATTTGTCACCCACGATATTAAAAGGTAATCAAATAGTTTTCCCATGAAATTAGGAAGTAATTTCCTCATTTCACTCGTCACCATTTGATTACACATACTAATAAAATTTGCATCAGTTCAAACAACAGCGGCAAATGCCACACTTCAGCGACTTCGTCATATAGCAAAACAAAAGGTTTCTAACAAAAGATCTCTTTCTCCAAAAGATGCCCTTGGAAAACTGAGGTTTTTGCGTATGTTATTTCTCCAAAACGAAGCGTAAATCAACAAAAACAATTACGCAACGATGCTTTTCATGGCAATACAAGTCAGTCTGCCAAAAATTAGCTCGATCCTGAAAAATCGGCCCAAAAGCGATCTATGTCCTTTTTACACAAAACCCTTCAATTATGCTGAGGTAATGTCCATGGTTAAATTCTCTTCTTATAGGTATTTAGTCGCCTTTTTACTTTCACCCTTAATGGAAGGAAGGGAAAAAACGAAAACAATGACGGAGGGAAGTGTCTCGGTTTGCCTCGTACTGGCTACGGCCCTGCCACTGGTGTTCTTTCTGATATTGTCATGCATGTCACCCCCTCTTTCATAAAATTGTTATAAAATAAGTTACAGTGGTCCTTGGTTTTAAATTTTTGGTGTGACTGTTTACAGCAGGCACTGACGATGCACAGATTTTAAAGAAATGCCAACCTGTAGGGTACCTAGAAAGTGATGACGATGAGAGTGACTACTTTGCAGACGATGAAATGTCACCCTGCTCATCTCCATCTCACAACAACGTGTGTGATTCAGAAAATGAAGACCACAGTCAAACGTTTATGAGTATGTGTAGCTTATGTTTGGTTGATTTGAGCTTTGTGTTTTGTAATGTGTGTGCTGTTGAGTTTTTTGGCTCTGTTTCATCTTGTGAAATTTTGATGCTCAGATTATTAATTTTTGTCTAAGCTAGTCAACTTCAGCATTGCCCTCAGTATGGCATATTTGTTTTTGACAGTGTTGAAGGAGTGCAGCCAAGATTAAACATGGTAAAAATTTAAAACGATCTCTGGCTGAAACAATTAAAAAATTACAAGCTTTTGACTGCCTGAACTACAGTCTTCAATGCGTAAAATGTGAATGACAAGAAACAAAGAAAAAGAAAATCTTTCTATAAAAATGTGTGAAATTGTGAAATAATAAAAATGCAAATTATGAATGTTTGTCAAAAAGAATGTTATATTGTAGTCCCATCAGGCAAAAGAACCACCAACTCACATACTTCAGCCCTACGCAACATTTCCAGTCATCAGGACACAGACGATGTTGTGGCAACTACTGACAGTGAGATTAGCCTTGATGGAGACCAGAAAGAATTGAACATGATAGATAATGATGAAACTACTGGGAGCAGAGGCACTCATATAAACTACTTCTACTGAAGCACTCTGCCCAAATAGTGGCCAGTGCTTTTATTTATCCATGATTGCTTTTTTTTTACTCAAAAATTCGGATCTTCGATTGAATAATGTATGACCTCATGTAGTCATTCAGTAGCATCTCTCATTTGAATATATTGAATTCAATGGATGAATTACAGTGCCTCTTTCTATCACTGTGAGAAGTGACCTCAAGTGAAAACAAAAAGTTGAAATTTGAGTGATTTGATTAACATAAGAAACATTGTTATGTTTTTTATGACAGCTCAAGATTTTCTTTTAAACCAGAAAAAATTAACATTTGACTGAAATTACATGTTTCACAGCTGTATCAAACTGCAGCATTCACCTTGATATGGAGGAACATGGACAAAAGAAAGCTGTGACATGTAATCATATATTTTTCTTATGAGATCACCCATTTTTTCAGTTCATTCACTAGTTTTACTATCATCTCTTGTGGTAATGGAAAGAGATACTCATTTATCAGTGAATCTAGCCCTTTTTGCACAATTACAAGCTGGAAAGTGGTCGACTCATAAGCTTGCATTGTGCCTTGACACTTTTCTTATCAAATCAAGCAATTTTCCAGTTCGTTCCTCAGTTTTACTATCACCTCTCTTGGGAATGGAAAGAGGTACTCATTAATCAGGTAATCAAATCAGGTTGTCAAAATCGTTTTGACCACCCTTGCCATATGTATTATATTAACAGTACATCAGATTGAATACTTCTTGAATGCCCCTGGAATGTTATTTACACAAACCAGCACAAACTGAGCTATCAAGCCAGCTGGGAGCTGGACAGTTACGAGTTCGTCATATACCCTTGGATGTGAAGACATGCAAGTGAATTTACAACATATCTTTCTCCCGCATTATATGATATTTATCTTATCAAAAAACTTGCATAACCTGTCTAGGAAACTGTTTCTATGGACATGGTTGTTTTGTGGCTTTTTTTCCCTTGAAAACAGGAATGGTACCTTAGGTTGGTCTCCAAAAGTTTGACTAACATTTCTCATTTAACACTATAGTCTCATTGGCAAAAGAAATTGATTACTTTAGAGCCTGACTTTGGAGGGCAAAACCAAGTGGTTTCAGAATACTTTACTTTACATTGAAAAGGTTTACCTAGCTATTAAAAGTTACCACTTGCTTTTGTTCACAGAAACTGCCAATTGCGAAGCAGACATCCCCTTTTTTGCCAAGCATCGTTTCAAAGATAATCATCAAATCGTGGCTATATTGGGCACTCCAGGCATGGGCAAATCAGCTATATGTGTGAGACTCCTGATGCAGCACTGGGAGAAAGCTGGACACTCAAAAGGTGCGTACTTTTGCTGTCACAATGATGGCACAACAAATGATTCTAGGTGTCTTCTTGAAACTATTGTTAGTCAGCTCCCTGAATGCATTAATGAGTACAGCAGTCTTATGGGAGGGGAGGGTGTTATAAGAAAGTTGGTAGGAAATTCTAATCTATATAATTACATTACTTTTGTAGCTTGAACATTTTTATTTGCCAATTCCTATATGAATGCAAACTGCCCATTATCAGTATACATGTATACACATTCAGTGATCTTGGTGTTTCAAGCAATCTCATTAGTCGGCTATCTCTGGCTAATGAGCATTACACCTTTTGCGGTTCATTTACAGAAAATAAACATTCATTTGTGTCCAAATTTCTTTCTTTATGGTCAATAAACTCTCATTAACACCAATATGACCTTCATTTGCGCGTAAGGAACGTTCAAGAATAACATTTACATACGCATTAACATTCAAAATCATCAAAAGAAAAACAATACCTTCATTTGACATTCATTGACTGTAAATGTATTTTCATTTTAGTCGAAAAAAAATTCGTTGTTGCGAAACGACAATCATTTACACTTTAGGACATTCAGTTTTCAACAAAAGACTCTCAATAACACAATTTGCATGAGAACTAACATTCAATTGTATTATTAGGCAACCATATCCATGAAGGTAACAATCTTTAGTGCGGTAAGACAAACATTACCGTGTTTTCACCAAACGTTAAGAGAAAACAATAGCT